AAATTATAACATTAACGATATCTGATATAGGTAAGAATGAAAAGTGAAAATAAAATAACGCAAAAGAAGGAATAAAATCCTTTAATATTACGATTTTTCATGTCTTAATAATTTAAATGAATTACTTAATTGGAAGTGATTCTATTAAAATCGAATTAATTGAAAATCGAATCGAATCGATTTGTTGAGAAAGAAATTGATTTCGATGATCTTCGAGTTTCATTCCAATTTCAGTTCTGACAAATTATAAAAAAACAATTTTAACCAATCACAATATGTTTTATTGTTTTATTTTTTTTATCAGATTTGGTCTGCTAATTAGTGTAGGTTTTTCTTTTTCTTTCTCTTATTTTTCGATTTTTATTTTTTTATTTTCTATTTTAAAATTATAATGTATAGGTTTTTCGGCAAATAAATAAATTCTTTTTTGTTATTTTTTTTATTATAATGGAGTGAACTAAGAAAAATAAATAAATGAAACAGTTAAAAAAATCATAAAAAATTTATTAATATCCCAATTTCAGATGAAGTTAGAATTTAACTGAAATTAAAAATAGATAGTAACAACGCCTCCCAGAAATTTGTCACCTGCACGTGACCTTGATACCGATTTCTAAAAATGGAAATAAACCGGTAGCAAAAAAATTTAAATTAACGAATAATAAAATTTTAGCTTTAAATTTTTTTTAAACAATTTAGAAATTTAACGTAATAATTAATACTTTTTAGTTTTATTTAATATAATTATTTTTACAACTTTTAAAATTTCTATTATTATTGCCAATAAAATGTGTTTTTAGTCGACAGGCATCGAAATCGAAACCCGTCGAAACGTTTTGCCATATATTTTTATTAAAGGCAAAATTGCGAAAGTTTCAATGGGTGGCAAAAGTTTCGACGGATGGCAAAACCCATCAAAACCTTCTGACATAATAAAATTTTTGAATTTAAAATTTATTATTTTTGTTTAACGAGATGAGCAAATCGTATATAGCAAAGATCACTTTCTTTTATAATATCATATATTTATTTATTTAAAAAGGATAAAAAAATCAAAAAATTTACATATTGATAATTAAGTTAATTAAGTTCAGTTATATCATTTATCTCCTATATTTTCTTCATCTTCTTATTCCATTAAACTTTCATTTGAAAAATCATCATCTAGAGGTTGGAACCGGATTCGAAATTCGGAATATTTGGATTTAAATCCAGATTCGATTTTAAAATTAAATAAATCCCGATATAAAAATAAATCCGATTCTAATCTCTATCATCATCTTCTTCATAAGGTAATTTTTTCTAATTCAACAAGTACCAGTGCTTCCAAATTTAAAACCTGCTCGATAAATAATGTATTATTTTGAAAACTTTTGTTCTAATTAAAATAAAATATTGTGATACAATAAACCTGTTAACCATCAAATTCGCAAAGTTGTTATTCGAAACTGTCGAAACTTTCGAGACCCATCAAAACCCGTCAAAACCCGTCAAATCCCATCGAAACCCATCGAAACTCAAAATGATTTCTGAAAAGTTTGACTTTGCCAAAATAGGTTTAGGGTTTTGTCCTGCGAATATAATTTTTCAATTTAATAATTCTAATAACAATTTTTTTAATTACCTTTGAGACTTTTTTTTTTATTTATTGCTATTCATAAATGACGTTTCAGTATATATAATATGTGTATTTGTCAAATTAATTCAGATTCTGTTATAGTCAAATGGGTTGAAAAAAGAAATATAAGTTCAAGGAAGTTGAAGATATTGAATGATTTTCTTAGAACATGTACTTTATATTCTCGCTATTTTACAATTAGGGATTGGAATCAATTTTAGAATCGATTAATCATTTCTAAATAGGTGTTCCGGTTGAAGTTTAAATATCATTAAATGAATATCGAAATCATTTCGGAAATTGAAATTAATTTCAAATATCGAAAATCATTTCAAAAATCGACATCAATTTCATTTCAATTGATTTTTCGATTGGGTCAGTATTCTTTTTACCTTTTTTTTTTATTTAATTTTAATTGTAAAAGTTTTTTTTTTTCGATTTTCGGTTATTAATTTTTGATTTTTGATATTCGATAATTGATGATTTTCGTACTAATTATAAATTCGTATATTGAATTTTATTATTAATATTTGAATATCTATTTTAAACGGAAACCCTATTTATAAAGCTTCACTTATTTGATTTCAATTGTGACGGTGATTTTTTTTGATAATAATTTTAACGTGAAAAAATCACAAAAAAAAAATTCAATAAGATAAATAAATATTACGGTATTAGTCCAGAACGAAATGGCAAAGTGTCCCGATGTCCGCCCGCTCAATAATTGAATCGATGCTGATTGGCTTTTGCAATTGCACAAAAGTCTACCAGCGTGAATTTTTTTAGTTAAGATAGTTCCTGACGTAACAACGGTCCTTGTTCTCTAGTTGTAAGTATACCTAATCTCTTTTAGATCTTTGTTACTTTTAAAGCTATTCTGTAAAAATTGCGTTTGTTAATTGACATCCGCAGTGTTGAAAAATGGATCACAAATTCTCACGATGAATCTTTTTTTGATTTTTGATAATGATCGGTGTTATACAGATGATGATCTTATCATTTAAGGATGAAAATTGGTATATTATTTGGTTGGGCTGGTTTTTTAGCATGAAAAAAAACCAGGTATTTTTTTAATAAGCATTTAATTTTTGATTTTTAGTTGAAAGAAAAACATAATTCGATAAATTAATTTTGTCTTAAGAAAATGAAGAGATTTGTCGTTAAGGAGTGGGCCGAGCTTATTTCAGACCCGATAAACTTTAAAGAACAGACTCAGCTAATCTTTGATCATGCTGACTTGCCTGTGGTGAAAGACGAGCTATCATTGACATTACGATTAAAGATTCAGAGTCATAATTCCTTTCATTGGGCTGTTATTTTCGGCAAAGGTAGATTTTTTTTGTTCTTAAAGATTTTGTTTCCTCGGTCTCAAAACAAATACAAATACACACACATTTAGGTACTGAAGGATCACGCACGCCTAGGCTTGAATTAATACCAAACAAATCCTCATTTCACGTTCGCTTCTCAAGCAACTGGAGTGATAATGTAGGAATTCAAGAAGTTTGGGACGGACTTTTGCTAGATAGATGGTACCATCTAGCTTATACGATTTCTGATTCTGAGAAGAGATTAGATTTCTACATTGATGGTAAATGGGTCGGATTCGATTGCATCCCGAACATTAAAACGGGAAAAGTTGTCTTCAATGATGGACCACTTTATATCGGGCAAACATTCAAAAATGGCGATATTAGGTATGATTCTCATGTAATAAAAGTTAATCTAGATCACAAAATATTAAATATCAATTTTATTCATTAGCAATTTTCGCTATTTTAATTGGCGCTTAAGTGCCGATGAAGTGAAAGAAGATTCTTTGGTAAGTTATATTTAGAATTTCGCATAAGGTATCTCGCGCTGATCAACTTTTATTTAAATAATGATATTAGAATACACAAATTACATATGGCTCGAAGGTCGCATTTGTTCATGTACCCACTGGAAAATATTTGTCTACTAAAGGAATCAAATATGACTATGGTCAACTCGGACAGCAACATATGGTATAAACCACTACTTTTTATTTTTTATTTTCCTTTTTTATGAGTTATATTAGAAACTTTACGCGTATACTTTATTTGTAAACTTAAAGGTCGTTGGTACTGGTCGAAAAATAGATTTAAAAAATGATTTATTGAAGCTAATGGTAAAAGTGTAAGCGCGGGAAGCCCCGTGCTCTTTAATACTGTTGTTGGATTTAAGCATCAAGCGACAGGAGGAATCTTACATTCTCATGTCATATCTTGTGGTAGCACACCACTAATGAAACATCAGCAGGGTATGTTTGTATTGATATTATTTACGAATTTATTAAAATAATAATATTTAGTGACCATCTGGCAAGGTAGAAATGGTGACGATGACTGGCTCATTCAACGTTATAATTCAATTTATTCTAAAGATGACTCGGTTTACGTGTGTAATAATGATATGATCAGCCTTATCCATTTCAATTCCAATAATACAGCACTATATAGTCATCCCATATTATTTGGTGATGGATCCCAAGAAGTTTCTTGTCATGGAAATGGAAATGACGAAAATAATAAGGTAACTACTTTGCAGATTACTAAAAATGTAACATGCCCATTTATATACACTGAATAATATTATAACTCTTTTAGTGGCGTATTGAATTGGTTGATGATTCAGAATTGTGATGTATTATTCGTAAAGAATAACATTTCATTCTTAAGAAATTATGGTTGCTCAACCTTTACAATGAGTATTGTCACATCGTAATTAACGCACTTTGCACATTTATTATACGATTAACAATAAAAATTTCTTGAGATCACTTGATAAGAGATAGGTTAAAACTCGCAATAGAATTTTTCCACAAAAATGTCATTGAATTCTACAAAAAAAACCGTTATAGATAAATTATTAAAAATGAAATATATTTGTAATAATTTATCATAACGCTACCAATAAACTATTTCTACGATAAATCATCCCGTGTTATTTATAAATAAATCTAGTGAAAAGATTACTTTCGAAAGTATTTAAATGATGGTCATGTGAAAATTTATAGAGTTTTTTTATATTTTGCAATGAAGATAATAAAGTTGGTCGCGACCAAATAAAATTTAATGTTCAATTGTAATAATAACGGTAGTTTCTAAATACCGGTCGCAATATCAATACATTACAAGCTTGATTATTTGCTATTTTGACAAAACAAACAATGGACTTATATATATTCTTTTCCTTTTGCAAATTTTAGTATTATTAAAAATAGGAAAAATGTTTATTGCTATTGTATTGTGTTTATCTTTAGTATAGTCTTTGAAAATTTTTAATTTATTTGAATCAAACAAAAAGATGTGGAATTCTTTTATCGAATTACATCATGAAAAAAATTGACCATACACATATCAAAGTGAGTATGAGTCATTGGGTGTTCGGTCAACATAGTTTAACAAAACTATATATGGTCCTATGAATCTTTTTTGTACTACATAAAATATAATGTGTCCGAAACCGGAATTACTTCCGAAAACTGGTTAATTTTCCGGTTCATAAATTAATCATGATATATCATTGATTTATTTTACAGTATATAGTAATACAAATTACAGCTTTAACTACTATTACAAATTAATTGTTTAAAAATCTTTGATGCAATATCATATCCAGATAGCTGAAATTGTGCTTCTTGAAGTGGAGTTTTTTTTTGTTTCATTTCTTTGTTTTCGCATCTCTTTTAACTCCACTAGCCAAATTTTCTTTTGAGATCTTGCTTGATGACAAGCGAAGCTTTGATTGTTTTATTGATAATGACATGTTTGCATGTGTTTTCAGATCAAGCTTGTTAAAAAGACCTTCGACTTGCTGCTGGTGGATGACAATATAATAAATATGATTCTTAACGAAATTATAAATAGTGGGAAAATGATATATTGGATCGTCACAAATGCAAAATTGCATAAATTCTTCAAGAAAACTGCTGTTTTGACATAGCAATTCACTTAAACCAAAGTCATTTGTTATTCCATTATTTTTGTCATCTTCCAAATCCTGAGCAAATCACAATTCCAAATCAGAAGGTGGAGAGATCCAAGGTTTTTGGAGAATCACATGATAAAAGCTAGATGCAAATGATTGTGCACTATTCCCTCCAAGCTGGCAAACTGCTAATGGTAAATGAAGCCATGATAAAAACCATTTTTGAAAGGATTCTAAGGCTTTTGTAATTTCATGCTCTAAACTATCAAATAGAATTTGAAATTCTTCATTGGATAACACATTTACAGCTTCTATAAGCTAATCTATAAAAAAAAATATCAAAATTACTAGTAAGATTTTGAAGAACTTCAGCATTCAAAAATTTTATCCAGCATTTTATGAGCACATCGACCTGGAGGCAATGCAATTAATTGTCCATTTTCATATAATCATGGAGTAGTATCTTGCCCCATTATAAATTGCATTAGAGGTTCATAAAAGTGCTTGGTAAAGTTGACTAAGCATTTAACTTTAACTTGAATATTTAATTTGGGATCAGAAAGTCAGGTTTTAAAAAGATACCAATTATTGAGATAAGATTTAGGCATTTTTTATACTTTTCTAATTCTTCAATAAACTAATGTGCAAATTCAATATGAACAGAATGATGATTAAGTTATTGTTTGGCTATTTGTAATTCATAATCCAATGAGAATGGAGAGGTAACTGATATGATACTAATTGTAGTGAAATCCTAATAACCCATCATATAACACTTGGATAATATGAGCATTAATATTGAGTGGTTTATCATTGTCACTTAAATTATAGCCATTATGTAGCTTCCAAGCTAAGTAAAGTAAATTGTATATGTGAGATTTTCTTAAGAAACCAGTACTATTTGAAATTGTTTCAAATGCTTCTTATTCAAAGTTATTTAATATAATTTGAATTATGTGAAATGCACAATCCAATTCGAATTGAATTTGTGTCATTTTTTTCATTAAATAGAATAATAGCTCCTTTCTTTTTTCCTGATATATAGGCTGTGTTATCTGTTACCCATAATGCATATTTATCAAAAGATAAGCCATTTTATTATATAAACTTTATAATAGTATTAGATACAGTATTTGCATTATAACTAGGAATATCCTCAAAATGAGCTACAGTTATAACGGGTATTTGATCTTTTTGATTTTAAAATTGATAATATAAAATAAATTACTTTACTTCATCTCATGTAAATTCGTCAACTAAGACTCCAAATGATGGTGCCATAATTGCCTGATGAATTTAAACATTAGTATGTAATGTAGAAATATCTTGCTACTAAATGAATGAACATTTGATCTAAAAGCTTCAATTTATAATATTATCATATATCTACTAAATAAATAAATAATTTGCTATTTATCATTTAATGAAACTATGACTTAACAGCTTTGAATATTATTTTCACATTAGTGTAAGACAAATTCAAGATGAAAATTAAATGATTGGAATACAAATCAAATTAACTAAAACTGTAACTTCTTCATCATTTTTAATCAAGTTTCCTATAATATTAATTTTATTTCCTTTTTGCAATTTGTTCATTTTTCCATATATTCTTAAATTTTATGTAAAACAAATACATATTATTAAAATTTCTGTATGATTGTTTTTATTAAATTCTATTGCTTGTGATTTGAACATGATATTTTCACCTTTAATAACTGGGGCTGATAATATATTACATTAAAATGATATAAAATCTTTTTACTTTGGTGTTAATATTAATTTGATATGATGTTATTACATTTAACTTTAAATTTAAAGAAAAATTTTTTTAGTTATTTTCATTAAAAAAAAATAAAAATAATAAATTAAAATTAAAATATTTTTATCTGAAGCTTTTGAGAATCATATTTAGCTTTTATTCCATACAAATTCTTTATTAATAAAATATACACAACCTGAATCTATTTGTTTGTCAAATAAAGTAAAACTAATAAATATAGGATTATTATTTGCAGGTCTATTATATGCAATTATTCCATTTGTAAAAGAAGTAAAGTTAGAACTACTAGCAGAAATGGTATTTGCTTTAGTAATGTGTTCTATAGCAAAAAATACACAAGGCATTTTTTTTTTAAAAATTATATTTTTTTATTCATAACATTTAATGCTTTCTTTATATATATTTTTATCTTTTAAAATTTTTTTTAAAATTAATTTATAAATATTTTAATTATTTATTCTCTTCTTTCTTATAGGGCAATATTTTTTAATTCAATGCGATCAGTCTATTACGACATAAGTAGATAATAAAATTTTTATTAATTTTTATTTTCTATATTTGTTTAACTCTTTTTATTAAAATTTTTCCTTTATTTTTCTAGTCTTTGATCAGTTCTGTGTAATTAGTCTATTATAGCATAGGTAGATAATGAGATTTTTATTAATTTTTATTTTTTTTACATTTGTTTTAACTATTTTTATTAAAATTTTTCCTTTTTTTAGCCTTTGACTGGTTCTGTACGATCAGTCTATCATGCGTAGATAAGTGATGAAATTTTTATTAAATTTTTTTCTATATTTTTTTTAACTATTTTTATTAAAATTTTTCTTTTTTAGCTTTGACTAATTCTGTACAATCAGTCTATCATAACGTAAATAGTTGATAGAAATTTTTATTAATTTTTTTCTACATTTATTTTAACTATTTTTATTAAAATTTTTCTTTTTTTCTAGCCTTTGATGGTACTGTATGATCAGTCTGTTATAATATAGATAGATAATGAGATTTTTTATTAATTTTTTTTCTACATTTGTTTTAACTATTTTTATTAAAATAATTCCTTTTTTTTTCTAGCCTTTGATTGATTCTTACAATCAGTCTATTATGGTACAGATAGATAACAGGATTTTTTATTAATTTTTTTCTACATTTGTTTAAACTCTTTTTATTAAAATTTCTTTTTTTTGCCTTTGATTAGTTTCATGCGATCAGTCCATCGCAGTTAAGTAAGTGACAGATTTTTTATTAAATTTTTTTTCTTATATTATTTTAACTTTTTTTATTAAATTTTTCTTTTTTTTAGTTTTTTTTTATCTTATTTCTTTGTTTACTTAAGACAGATAATTAGTCTAATTCAGATGATTTTATCAAGTTTGATAATTCTGTAATAGTAAAGGTGAATTTATTTTCTTTTTATTTTTTTAGTCTTTTTTTATATTACTAATTATTAATATTTATTTTTTTCTTTTTTCTTTTCTCTTATTCATTTTTATTTAAGACATTTTTTAGTCTAATCTGAATAATTTTATCTGATTTGATCAGTTCATCATGATAAAGGTAGTTTTTTCTCTTTTTTTTTGTATTACATTAATAATTACTAATTTTTGTTATTGTTTTTTCTCTTTTTCTTTTATGTTTTTTTAATCAAATCTGGATTTTCTTTTTTTTCTTATTCAGTTTAATCCAAGGCATTTTTTAGTTCAATTTGAATAATTTCATCTGGTTTGATCAGTCTGTCGCAGCTAAGATAAGATTTTTTTGTATTGTATCAGATTACTAAACTTTTTTTATTTTATTTTATTTTATTTAGATGATTTTAGATTTAGATTCAGATTTTGATTGGATTATTTGGATAAAGATAAGTTGTAAATTTGTTTTTTTTAACATTATTTTGGATTACTAATTGTTTTGTCTTTTTAATTTAGTCAATCAAATTAGTGGTCAATTATATTTCATTTATCTTTAAAAAGTTAAGCTTAAATTTTTATATATATATTTTTTGATTTAGTAAAAAGGTATTGATCAATTACGCTATATAAATCCTTTTTTACAATATCTAATAATTTATTATATTATACAAACTGATTTTAATTTTTTAAAAGACTAGACTAGAAATATAAAATTTTGTAAAAAAAATATGGACAATTTTTTTTGATATATAATGAACTTCTGTTCTATTAAAATATTATAGTAAAATAATATATAGAAACAGTATAATGAATTATAAAAATAGAATAACAAAATACTAAAATAAATGATTACAGTAACAGTAAATAGTAATAATGTTTCTTAAAAATGACATTAAGTTTTTTAAAAATCTTTCTTTTTTTATATATTATAAGACAATAATCAGTGACAATATGAACACAATTTTCCTTATAAATCAATTTACTTAACTTTTTTATATTAATCAATATTATTTTTTATCAACCAAAATGTTTATTTCATTAAATAATAAATTTTTGATTATTTTTGACTATTTTTTTATTATAATTAGTATTACAAATTATTTTTTACATTTATATTTTTAATCAAAAAAAATGTAGAAAAATGGTTTTATTTAAATAGTTATGATGTAAAAATTATTTAACCATAAATTTTAATGGTGATAAAAATAATCGTTAAAAATAAAAGAAAAAAAAATCAAAAATATATATATGTATAAAGAATAATGATCTTGAACAATCAGAATGACTCTATCTAAACCTAAGAAAAAACTCATTATATATACTAAATTTTTTGTAAGAATGGCTAAAAATTAATCTATAAGATCTAAATAAAATAATCATTTTGCAATCATTATATTAGATCCTTAACTTTTTTTTGAAAAATATAATATGATAATAATAAGTATAAATTAATAAAGTTTATTTACTAAAAAAATAATAATCTGTGTAATGTTAAACTTAACATTATACATGTAAAATATTATTTTTAAAATTAATGATTATTAGTTATTATTGGTAAAATAAAAAAAAGTTATTTTTAATAAAGAAATCAAGAAATATAAATTTAATAAAAAATAAATATAAATTAAAATAAAAAATTAATAATTTTATAATTTTTTATTTTCAATATTTTTTATTAGAAATTTTTAATTTTTTAATTATTAATTTATATTTATATTGATATAAAAATATACAAAAAATTAAATTTATCTTGATCGCTTCACAATATATAAGATTAAGATTTGCTAATTTTCTTTTCAAATTTAATATTTTAAAATATAATACAAATGCAAATTTTTTTTTAAATTATAACCTTAAAATTTAATAATTTTGTAATAAATTTATGATAGAGATTACTGAAAAATTAATCTAAAACACTTGATTTTGCTTAGCTTAATGAAATTTTACTTATTAAAAGAATAATCACAGATTAAAAAAGTTGAAGTTTAGGATATATATATATATTAAAACAGAATCTTAAAGTATTTAACATTTATTTTAAATTTATAATATAGATAGATGATAATTTTACAATAGTGATTACTATTAATCAGATTTTTTAAGATTGTTTTCTGAAGACTTTTCCTAAAAATCAATCTTTAAAAGTCCTAACTTATCAAAAAATTTTATTTAAATTCTAATAGTTATTAGTTATAAATCATACTACGCCTCATATAATCTTACATTACATTAAATATTATGAAATTGATATATTAAACATGTAATACATATATCCTTTAATTGATTTTATAATACATATATCAAATAGTTTATCTTTTATTATATATATTATATAGTCTTTTTTTATTACTTATATTATATTATCTTATTTTTATTATATGTATTATTTATAATAATTAAATAACATAATATAATAATAGCTAATAATTTTATATAAATAAACCTATAAGTTGAATTCAATCAGATAATTTTTTGAATAAGTCTTAAAACTAGATTTATAACTCTACAGATTTAATAAAGTTGATATTTTATACTTTCAACCTTCTTCTTATCTTCATTATAGGATTTAATCATGATAACTTACTATATAAGTAAATCATAATAATAAATTATTTTATTTGTTAATCATTAATTTCTCTTAAGAAAAACTTTTGAAATAATTGTAATATTTAAATTTATTAGTTTGTTAACTTAGTTTTAAGATGATTCTAGGTCAAATATAGTAAACCAGTTATTTTCTAAATAATGAAATTTTTGACATCAAAAATGTTATTATAATGTATTATGTAATATTTCTAAGGTAATGTCTTGAATTAATACAAAAATGTTGTAAAAAATATGTATGCTTTTTATAAGTGGTAAATTGTAAATTTTAATATTATTTATTTAGGTCAAAACAAAGATAATTATATATATAATATTTATTAAGCATAAGATTAATTTTAAAGATTAATTTTAAGCTATATAAATTATATTGGTAGTGTATAACTAAGGTAGCTTGTCTAAACTCATTTTAGATTTGGTAAAACATCTAAACTATAATTTCACTAAATTTTACTAAGATTTTTATATAGTTTTGCATTTTTATAAGCTTGAATTTAGTTTACCTTTTCCAGAATTTTGCAGATTTTTTAATAAGGTTTTAATATAATTTCGCTAAATTTTATTTTTTGCAAAATATCTAGGTTTTATCTAGCAATCTTATGCATAACTAACACTTAATATATAATTTTTTTATAGGATATTCTTTAATTATTCCTTAAACTGTAGAGGTTCACAGGAAAATTTGCCTGCTTATTTACTATAAATTCTCTTTTGATTTACTTTTATGAAAAATTAAAATTTTAAAAATTTTTTTTTTAAATTAATTTTATAAATATATATAATATTATAGTAAATTTTAGTTTTTAATTATATAATAAA